GTCCTATCATTTACATATGACAGTAAAAGCAATTAGGAGGGTAACAAGTGGTAGTTAGGTGTAATAGAACGGCCCGATATTGTGTTCGATATTTTGTCTAATTCTCAGTCTGTTTGTATAGTCATTGTTTAGAAGCAAACCCCCCGAGCTCGGAGCTTTTATCTCCTGGTAGCGTAGCACGCCCTAAAAACATTTGCCCATTGTCACAAACGAGTGAAGTGAACGGCTCGCAAGCTAATCAAGGAAACGTTATCTGAAACGATTACGAACGTGAGAGGCCTACAAGTGCTAGACACGAGTGAACCCAACTCGCGGCAGGCGAGGTAAGCAGATCAATGGTGTTTTGGGGGCTCAACAGAACTTTTCTATGATTTTCTTCCACGTAGGCAGCACACAGCGAAACAAAATCCCAACCGCGTGGTTTTATAAGTTGTTTTGACAGCGACGAATTCTTCAACTTGTTCAGTCGACAAATACTAGATCGTCGGGTCAAGTTTCTTAAGTGGCGTATAGTTGTGCCATTTCGATTTATCTTAAGACATTGGTCATGAGGCTCATGTTTAGCAACGTGTTTTATAAGCAGTAGAGGATCGAAGAACCTTAATCCCTAGGTATTTTCATTAGGATGACTGAAATGCACTCCGATAAGTGAAATCGGAAGTCTGCTAACTGAACACTATGTAAATTAAACGAGGGAAAATGCCAAGCCAACGTCTCATCACACGGCTCAGCTCATCTACGTTATTTATTTACACTGGGGCCAAAATAGCACAAGCTCGGATCCGTTTAACAATGTCACAAATTCACGCTTTGTTCCTAGTTGAGGGTAGAGTGTTTATTTTTAAAGAAGTAAGTTTCAAACACTCCAGTGCATTGCTTTTCCGCCTCCGGCAGATAGGACTTAATTTTACACACGAGAATATTTGCGAAGGCCGGTGTCACTGGATTCTCGAACGGATTTGCGTGTCTTTTAAACAGGGCACTCCAGTCGATACACCGAGACAAATGGCGATTTTGCAGTCAATCAGGGGCCTTACAAACTTCTGCATATTGTCTGATTCACCTTGGTCAATATAATTCACCTTGCTCTCTCAAAACACGTTTGCTATTTCGATTATTAGTGAAATTTCACTACATTGCCTTGAAAGAATTTCAACTCCAAGTTTATGTATTAAAAGCTAGGTATTCACTGATTGCGCGTTTTATTAACTGTACTCTCGACTCGTTTCCCTAGTTCCATGTAACCGTCCTCAGTGGTATGCACTTAAACCTGAGCGTCCAAGTAATTGTGAAAATCTGAAAAAGAACGATCAAAAATAAACTCCGCTATGGGAAACCATTGCTTCTTAGCTCAGTTTATTCTGGTGGAAATTTTTATCCTGATGCAAAAGCTAAAACAACATTGCATGTGTTACACAAAGGCCGCGATTACCCGCCTTGACGTAGAGAGAGGTAATTCTGGCAATTTTCCGCGGCACTTCTTCAGTAAAACTTTGAGAAACGTTTGAAAAAAAAAAAAACGAATCGAGTTTCCGCCAAATCTAGTGCTTCGTCCTTAATTTGGATCTAAAGTAATTGACTTTTGGCCTCGATAAGTTCTCTTTAAAAAGCTAAACTACAATACGAAAACATTTCCATGAATGATTTATGAAATGGGCAACAACACAATGGCTTTCGTTTGAAAAATTTGCTTGTTAGTAGTGTTGTTGTACTATTGGTTTTCTGTACAGCATTTCTTCATTTTCTGAGAAAAAAGATTGCTTTTAGCTTACTGCCGGATTATTCGAGTCGTATCTCTGGGCTTTCGATAATTATTTTGTGCGTTTAAATGGATTGCCAGATGGACTTGTTTTATCACATAAATGTTGAAGTCATTTTGGTGTGGGGTTCAATAGTGTGTGTTCATTTATATGTGATTATCGTTGAAAAAACGAAAGCTGTGATTCATTTAATCATTTACATTTTGTATTCGATGGGTTTTTATAGGGTAAAAGACGTCCTTATTCCTAGGGCTTAAATCCAGAAAATGGTTGGAAACGCAGAAATTCACGAAACTGAACTTGGTCTTCTTCCACCAATTTGCGCTCATAAAATCTTGCGTAATTTTTTCCTGCGCCAAATCTGTTGAACTCATTAAAGCTACCAACGTCAAAGAGTTATTTTTAGTGTATAGAGACTAGATGGTTCTTCTTGGGAAGAAAACGGCGAATTTTTTTGGCAAGAGCTTTAATTGTGGTTTTTTGATCAGCAGTCATTGACTGCACGCGTCTCAGTATATTTGGAATTTTGTGTAAATATTTTCCTAAACTGTTGAAGTATTTTTACTCGTGTTTAACTTGCTCATAAATCGTTTCTATTTCCAGCTAAAGTCACGACCGTATATAGGCGTACGATCGGTCCTTATAAATGTACTTGACCAGTATCAGTTATTCGCACGAAATAACACGAATGCATTCGACAGCACCAATTCCGCCCGGCTTGTCAGTATATATTTCTAACACTCAAGATCGGTAAATTCGATTCGCCAAACAAAGATTAGCAAGGGAGCAACATCAAAAACGCCAACACCGAATAGAATATCATGAATATATAACCAATGCAGCCACTAAAACCGAATCGCCATTTTAGAGGATCAGTAAAAGATCGTATGCAAATGTAGCCCTTGTGTGTTTCTCGTGTGGCTTCGCTCCTCGTAATTAATTACTTTCCATTCGCAGATGACACATTTTGCAAATCATTAGTGACAATAATAAGGTGTTTATACTCTCGGCTGTGTTATTCTCTCAACTGTAAGCTATTCAAAGAGAATAGAAGTTTGGTCCCTGAATGCCTTAGTACTAATCCGTCCGTGAGATAAGCCTGCTTTTGGCCAAGACTTTTTCTCGGATCTTGTTTACTTAGACATAAAATGGTTCTTTTGGCCATTGGGGAGGTTACAAAGCGTGTAGTAAATGGCTCGGTGAGTCGCGGCTAAACAGCTGAACAAGGGCCAATATTTCTTTTCTCAGTGAACAAACAATAAACTGCCTAGTATATTTGCCAGCTATATCGGGCAGTGATCAAGTGTTTTCCCCTGACGTAGCCATTACTGTACTTCATATCGGGAAACAATAAAGTTCAAGAATTTCTTTCACGCTATTCAAGTGAGGTGGCAAAAGAGTCTAGGATTCTTTTCGCGAGGAGCGCTTCCACGCTAATGAGCTTTCGCGTTTTTTGTTCTCTGTCTTTGTGCAAACATATCGTAAAGTTAAACTTCGCAAGTAAACACTACAATAATAACAAATGTACGGCGACATAAATTAAAAGGAAAGCGACACTGCTCAAACAGAATTGTTCAAGTAAGTTCTTGACATTACAGTACTTTCGACCATTCTTTTACTATCAATGTACTATGAGGCAATTCACTTTCACTTCTCTTCCTTGTTTGACATGATGCATATTTAATGTACGGTTCTTTCGCAGCTGTGGTCTTGCCCTTACCGAATAGTTACTACTTTGGGATATATTTTAAGGTTCTTTAATGCCCAGCACGTCACTAATCACCGACAACGCTGACCTCTTTTCATGATTAATCCGTGTAAAAAGCACCAATAGCACTTTTAAACATTTATATCTTTTAAAGTATTATTGAACATAGTTGTCCCTCTGTTTGCTTGGCAAACATGAAGAATCTGTCAGTCATCTCTCAGGGACTCATAACAGTGTATATATGCCTGACCCGTAGATAAGCTTGATATCACAATGTTTTTTTTTGTACATGCAAAACAATCGTTGCAACCTAGAAGACGCCAGATTTAGGCATATTATGTCTGTGTTGATTGAAAAACTCCATGTTTGTAGAGCTGTACAAAGTCGCCAAAAATCAGTTTTCATAACAATTAACTATTGTCTCGCACAAATATCGCGTTTTAACCATGTTTTTCAAGTTGCAACTCTGATCAGAAAAACAATTAGACTCACTCAATTAGAAAGCACTCGGCCCGTGAAAAAAAAAAGAGAAGAAATGTTTATTAGACATGGTTCAGTTTAGATCAATAAGCACAGCGTGTGGACTACGATTTTAGCTAAATTGACTTGACCGGAAAGAAGGGGTATAATGCGAAATTCATATGAGGGGGCGTGGGTACTGACTTTCAACGAAGACATCTTTACGACAGAAAGCCGGTGCGAATTTGCACTCTTTAATCCATTGAGTTTAATACAACTTAATACATAACGATCGTGACTCGTAGATTTTAAATATCAATCTGGGCCGATCAATCTGAGTTCGCATTTAACGTAAATTCTAATCCCGTACGTTGCTTCGATCATAACTCGAGATCGTGTACTGTACTTTGATATCTAGTATAAAACCATTTAAGGTGACGAGTACTGTCACCAGTGACTGCAGTGGAAGAATTTTTTCGCGCTTTGTTATCTACTGTAGAATCTCTATTCCTGTATATAACTGCGAACGATGGATCTCTGAGATGGCGAGGTTATCCCATAGCAAAGCTTTTTTACGATGATATGTGACTTTCTGCCTAACATCTGTCAATATAAACGATAACACGCAAAATGAGAACTAAAAAGAGAGGCCGATCTCTGACCGTCTTTTAGCGTTTCTTTCAAGACAATATTCTGCAAATTTTAAAATATGCCTTGGAGGAAAATTTTTATCTGGTTGCTTTTACATTTATGGCTTCGATCACAACTAAAAGAAATGTTATCCGATATCTATATTTTCTATCCCATCTGCCCCTAGCATTGTTTAGGCCAAGTTAATAACACCTTGCTCTATTGATTGACAGTGTTGCTATGGTAGCCTTGTAATTAGAGCTTTGCACGCCAATCAGGTAGCTAGAGTTTTTTATACACTCGATCCCAGTGATATTATGTATACCCCATGTTTCTAACCCTCTTGATAAATGCTGACACTTTGCAGAGACAAGTCACCACACCCCTGTATTTAGCCTTAATAGACTGATACAAGGAGGAAGGAACTCTTCACTACCGGCGCGATGTTTGCACCACTTCCAGCCCTGAGCTTCACGCCGCAACAGATCGCACAGGTCTGCGAGACCTTGGAGGAGAGCGGAGACATCGAGCGACTGGCCAGGTTTCTCTGGTCCTTGCCAGTTGCCCCTGGAACGTTAGAAGCTCTGAGCAAACATGAGAGCGTGCTTCGAGCGCGAGCTATTGTGGCATTTAACATGGGCAATTTTCGGGATTTGTACCATATACTGGAGACTCATCGCTTCGGCAAAGACTCGCACGCCAAACTTCAAGCCATGTGGTTGGAAGCTCACTACCAGGAGGCTGAGAGACTTCGAGGGAGACCCCTTGGGCCTGTCGATAAGTATCGAGTTCGTAAGAAGTTTCCACTTCCCAGGACAATATGGGACGGAGAACAGAAAACGCACTGCTTCAAAGAAAGGACCAGAAGTCTACTACGCGAATGGTATCTTCAAGATCCGTATCCAAACCCAACAAAAAAGCGTGAGCTGGCGCAGGCTACAGGCCTCACACCGACACAAGTCGGCAACTGGTTTAAAAATAGACGGCAAAGGGATCGTGCAGCAGCAGCCAAAAACAGGTAAAAACAAATTTCACCTTACTCTGGCGCAGTCACAGCTTTGAGTTCGTTCCGTCTGGGTCAGTGGCCTTTGTTGATGTTACTAGTGTACACAAACCTTAACGTGAAAATCCTCTCGAGAAATTTATTTCCCCTTCCAAACGCTCGCATCGGGGCACATATCAGCACGTTTGCAACGGAAATGGGCAAAGGATCGACAGGGTAAATTGTAGCGTAGAAAAGACGATTCGTGTTTGTTATTGTGGGGGTTTCGAAGACGCATTCTAGACTTCAACACTTCACGAGTCTATTAATTTGGTTTAGGTGGTTTGCAGCAAAACAGATGCCGGAGTAAAACAGCGTTTAATCCTGAAATTTATACCACACGGATAAGTCTATTGATATTCGGTCTCGGTGACAGAGTATATATTTTATGAATGCATGTGGTTAACATACAAATTGTTTCGAAGAGATGCATTTGTTTCAGTCCCTTTATTTCATAGCAGCTTATTCTTTAAGTGAATAAAAGCGCTCAATTGCTTCGGATCTGGCGCCAAAGCGTGTACAGTAACAGCAGTTTGCCGGTCGCATGTGGTTGCTGTACATATGGTTTTTATCCATATCATCGACGGGCTATATACACTAGTCCTAATGAAGGAAATTGATCGAGATACCGTTTCCCCCTGAGATCATCCGGAGTTGTCAGAACATCTCTTAAATTCCACTCTACAATCATTTGTTTGCGCAAGAAATATTTGATAATTTTCTTAGGTACTTAGCTAGGATTATGAGGCGTCTTTGGTTATTTGTTTACCTAAATTTCATCTAATAACTATTTGGAGGCATTACGAAGGCGAGTGGCGGTTTGAGTTTTCTCTCTTCACGTGCGGGCGTAGTGCTGATGGCTTGCCAGAAATCAGTGTAATCCTATCTTTGTTAAGTTGTTTTTAATCGTTGACAAGGAAAGATACAAAAAAATTAAAAATTCGGCAAAGCAGCGGGAAATGAAGCTCAAGAAAATGTAATCCCTTTAACGTACAAACAGTGATATTAGGTGTGAAGTGGGCCGTCCTCACAGCAGCCAACTTTTACAGGCGATAACAAGCTTTCCCATTTAGCGAGCAAGCATTAAAAGTAAATGACGTAGAAAGCTTCAAATATTAATTAAACTCATTTGCACGGTGCAGACGAACAGACGAAGCGGATTGAGCGATATTTAAAACGTTGCCTTGCAAATCCAAATATTATCTATAAACAGTAAGCGAGAGAAGAAAAACATTTCCTTTTCCTACTAGACATTCCTGGACACGAAGGAGAAGCAGCTCGAGTGTTTATTTATTCGTTGTTCCGTTTGGTTTCGATTGCCCTGTGTGTTTGGGACGTAATTATTCTTGAATGCAATTTAAGGTTATAGTAATCTTTAAATCGCACAGTAAGACCGTCTTGAGAACTAATGAAGTATTTATTTGAATGCAATTTTATTGATATGAGCATCAAGACCCACAGAGTTCTTTCCTCTTAGAAAAGAGTCAAACTAACCCCAAACAACACGCGTTTGTGTACAAATCTCCTGGATTTTCCTTTGTCAGTTTCTCCAAGCAATTCGGTTTACGTTTTCACGAACACAATGTAATCTGATGGAGTGATTACAGTTAGCTCTTAACAAAGATCTTAGCTGGATATTCACTATGGCCACGGTTATTCTTCTTGGTGAAATAGTTCATGAATACAATTCAAAACCATTCACACCTTGCACAGGAAAAGAGAACGGTGCAGTAATGAGAGTCATTAATGCCATTAGTCGGGCCGGCTATCCACAAATTTCACGCCCAAATTCATCAAACTTAACAAGAACAAAGTGGAAAAACTGTCTCTTTCATTTAGTAATGAACAGAATCAATTCTTTCAATGGCGTTGTTATTATGTAACATGCAAGATCTAGCCTTTTCCTATCCTGAAGGCTTATTGCCTCTTTTTCAAGAGCACAATTGACCTGGAAACAACTCGTCAAAGTGCTTTCTTGAAACTTTCCTTCTGGCTATTTGAGGTTGGCTTTCGACAAACAGTGTATGAATAGCGAGCATTTTAAGAGAAAAGGACTCAACATCTAATTTTTTTCAGTTAAGGACACTTCCAACAATATCATTTATGAAAACAACTGAAAAATAACCGATAATGGGCTAACAAATTTACAGTATGAGTGTTTTATTTGATAATGGATGAGTGGGAGCGCTTGTACCATAAAATTATACCAAAGGTAAAACCTTTGCCTTCTCGTATTAACTGTTATTCCTATCAACATCCTTGCGATCAGTTATAAAGTACAATCTTCAATTTTTTTCTTAAATTTTGTTTTCGAACCCCATGTAGCCCCGTATTTACACCCTGATTTCACAATGGTGTCTCATAAAAAGCAATTTTGGTCATTTACAGCTGTAACGATTTATTTTCTCTTATTTTTGGATGATTAGTAAACTTCAGTGTCACCGTATTAAAAAAGTGGAAGCGTTCATTGTAGAAAACCGTTTCGGCCTCCAAATGTCGTTAACGATGAGATTGTGACTCGTCTTTTCTAGAATTAAAAACTCTACTTCGCTAGAAACTTACTGTTTGTGCATTAACATGTTCACATTACGACTCCGTCTCCGACTCCTTCCAGTCTAAGTCACGGTTTGGATCATTTCTCATTCTAACTTCAGTTGCATCTGCGGACGAAATCCTATGGTGTGACCATTAAAATGAAAGCCACTGAGCATTATGCTGTATAACTTTTGCATCTGCGGACGAAATCCTACGGTCTCACCATTCAAATGGGTCCCGCTTTGCAGAACCTTTGGATGGCAAGTTATTTAGATCTTAGGATTTTTACACTACCACGATCGAAAAGGATACACTGCTTAGGGTTAAACGCTCTTTATTCTGTCATTTACTGAGAGTACTAAAACAAACCAGTCCCCCTTACCAAACCAGAATAAATACGGTAAACGTTTTTAGAACACATGCATTGTATAATGTTATAATGCCAAAGCTCTGAGATTCAGTCTCTTCCCGTCAACGAAGTAATCAAACACGATACACTGGTCTCTTTTTAAAAACAACACAAATCAAAAACCTATTCAACAGCACGCATTAAGCAAACACACTGACGCACAGCCCGCAGTGTTTTTCCTGCAGGGGAACTATCACACCTGACTTCTCTCAACTTTCAGCTCAATGGAAACCTTTGTGATTCACTGCCAAGCGTCATGAACCCTCTAACGTTACGCTCTCCTATTTTTCTTTTCACAGAATGAACCTTAACCAACAGGGGCAACACATATCTCAATGCAAGGCGGGCTATTCGCCAGAGGGAAAAGCTATGGAAGACTTTCGCGGGCTAAAAAATTCACCAATTTCTGATTCAACAGAGGATTTACACAAAGGGGAATGAGATTAGAGAAGAAACCAGGAAATAAGGATTTGAACAATTGTATTAACGAGCGAGAGAGAGACAGACGACTTCTGAGTATCGATCTCCATGGTGAATATTTAATTCGGCCGGAACTCTTGTGGCCGACCTGGTCTGAAGCGACGCGACTCTCGGTCAACACTTTTATCTTTAAGAAACTCAAGTTCAAGAAACGATTGAACAAAGTTCATCTGGCAAACATCATAACGACGCATCGAGAATGAACTGCTCAGAAACGCTTTCACTTATGTAACTGTGCCAATTTCGCAGAATTTTGTTCACCAACTCAAAAAACTATTGCTTCCACACCATTTTCAGTCCTATATATAATAATTATTCTGTGAGTAAGAGGATTGTACAAAGCAAAACAGCAAAGAACTTTAAAAGCTAGAAAAAAGTTTATTGGCAAATTTTGAATTGTTGTACAGATTTAAGAAAAAAAAATATTGTTGTAAATGTTCAAATACTATATAAATATTATTTGCGACCAGCGCAGTTCATGTAGCATAAAATTTTCACAGTACAGGGCTACCCCGTTGGATGGACTCAAGAACAATTTTTAAAAAATACATTCAACACGACGTGGCCGACATTTTAAGGTTTGATGATGCGACGTCGTTGCTTCGCTATCATGAGGTTACAAGACGAGGAACGATAAAATGAGAATAAAGTTGTCAAGAATAAATGATATTTACTGTTTTCCTGTAATATATATGACAGTAATACGCGATCGGCGCACTACACGTACGTAAATCCTGGATTCTTTTTTTAGAAGCTGTTAGCTTTTTTTTCTCTATTGAACTGATCTTAAGTGTGCTGTTTTGGCGTTGGTGTCATCTTCTATTCAGCTGTTGCAGTTTTACATTAATGGACTATCTATTGTCTTTGGCTATTCACACTTCTCTATCTAGCTCCTTGTCTTTTCCAACTATTTTCACTGGCCGATTAGCATTTGAAAAAGAGAAAAAAAATTGCTAATAGATATCTTTTATTGGACAGCCTGAAAGTGACAGCGCCGCGTTAGAACGATTAGCGCTTTGCCTTAGGGCCCATGAAAAGCGCGCTAATTGCTAGCAATTTCTATTATCCTTCGCTACAAATGGCGTCCAAACAGTGCTTTCAAAGACAAGGACACCGTTTTGCGTTACATTTCTATAAGGGTTCCTTTATCGATTGAAGATGTCAGACTTATGTCAAATACACTCCTACTGATTGCCACCCAACAATGGTCAATTACCATAATGTCCTAGTGTAATGTCTCTGTAAACAGAGCGATTATCATGAAAAAGTCGGAGGCCACGAATGCCTTAAATGTTCTGCAATCACTACAGTCACTTATGTCAAGTCGTTAATAAATACGCTTAGCACTCTTTTTTTTCTTCCTGACATTCTAAAACTTGTTCTAATACGGAGAACTAAAACCAAGATAGATATTTCTTCCCAAACAACCAGATGTCTATAACTCTAAGGCTTTTCAAAGATAACAGGAAAGTGCAGTATTGTAAAAGATACGCTATCAGCGTGAAAAACATATCGGGTCGAATGTTGTCATATGCGGTTGGGCTCAGTAACTCACTGGAATGCGACAGGATTCTCGATATCCGATTATAGAAGAAAACACTTTAAAGCTTATCGATCTGTCATTCAGAAGACATCGTCCAAATATTTGCCCAACTATCCTGATAACGCAAATAGTTATCTTAATCTTCGTGGGGTTATCTCTTTCGAAATACCAAGCTATCTAAAATAACCATTGCTGGAGAGAACGTAGAAAGGCAAGGCAAATTTCTAGCGAAAGAAAAACTTGCAAGGATTTGGCGACCCACCGTCACTGGAGTGCAAGGCTACGACAGTGTGTCTAGCCTAGTGTTTGATATACTGTCGTATCATTAGATTATCGCTTTCTGAAAGCTTTCATGACACCTAAAGCACCGGAAGAGAGGAATTTATTGTAATACGTCCGAAACCAAACAAAACCGATATGCACATAAAGCGTTTTAAAAAGGAGAAATAAACAATTTCATTTTGGAAAATCAACACCATTTCTAACCAAGAAAGAGGTATACTCGCAAAACAAAAGTGACCTTCAGCCTCCATCGGGTTGAGTGTCGAGTTTTTCTAAAGCGTTTATCAGTTAACATTTGCATATGTATAAAGAGTTTATTTGGCTGTCTCCAAACAGATGTAAAGCATTTGGCTAAAAATTCAATAATTGCTGTTTATCGAAACTCGTAAAATCGGGGTAAAACCACGTTCGATATTGATTTTATCTCGGTCTAAGATAGCAAAAACAAACAAGAAAACCACTTACTTAAGTGGAATTTTTAGCGTTTGGCCTAAGATATTGTTGTGGTTTTTTGTTGTGGTTGTCTTAATAAATGGTTGCCTTTTTAAAGCGCCATTAGAAAGCCTTTAATTGACTATTCAACGTTGGCTCTGTGTGAATTTTCAACGCCAGACTACAAAAGAGTCGAAACGTGGAAATCTCTCTGATTTTATTCGCCCTCTTCGATCGGTGCGGGCCATTATTTTTCCACTCGTGTTTAAACCAGAAGAGAGCTACTGTATTTCTATATTTTTCTTCCATTTAAAATACAAATGCGGTGGAACCTCGACTGATATAACAAACCTCTATGTAACGAAGTCCTCGTTATAACGAACGATTTTCTTTACCCCACTTATAGTAAAATATACCATGAAAAAGAGCCTCGATATAACGAAACCTTGATACAGTACACATGTAGTTTTATTGCATAGATAACCGGTTATTTCTGTTTTAAGACCGATTCAACTCAGCAGCTGACCCACAAGTCTGTAAGTAAAAGTACGTATTTAACGGCTGAAATCCATTCATAACAAGTCTTTGAATGAAACCTGGTATGCCATAAGAGCACGATGCGAAATAGAGAAAGGATTTCTTTTTGGATTATTCTTATTATCCATTTATTTTTATTTTTATTTCGCGTTCTGTAGCCATTGGTTTCTTAAACACAAATAAGTTCGGCAGTACTAAACACAAATTCACACAGCTCAGTTTATCCACCTTAAAATAACAGTGCGCGTCAAATCAGTACCTAGAAAGCTAAAAAACAATCCTATTTTACCACACATTTGAATTGAATCCCTTGTATGCAATTTTTGTATCATTCAAAAACGGGAAATTGATATGAAACGAATTGATGTATATTTAATGACATTGAAAACCATTTTTAACACCCTTTTTAAATACATTTTGCTCGTATTTTCTTAATTATCTGACATGCAGTGTGAAAGGATGGAGAAAAATATAATGACAAAATAAAACATGACAAAGATCATTACAAATTGTCTCTGCGCGCGATCCGTGTGTGTGAAAGGATGGAGAAAAATATAATGACAAAATAAAACATGACAAAGATCATTACAAATTGTCTCTGCGCGCGATCCGTCTTTTCGTATATTTTCCGTCCATAAAACAGCTGAAATGTTTCGAGACGGATGCATGCATGATGCAGCATCTTTGAACAAAGAATCATCACTAGATTTCAGCACCGTCGCTTACTCCTTTGTTTAGCTGTGGTTTTAATGACTCTGTCGTAATTCAAACCAAACGTTTGTGAGTCTTGTATAGTACTAGCATATCGATGACAGAAGTTTCTTTCACTTCACTCATTTTTAATTGGAAGTTTCATTTATAGCCATTTGTGCAACAGACAAAGCCGGAAAGGCCAGGCATGTAAGGCTTTTATATTTACATAGGGGATTTCTTTGACAATGGCCTTTATATTTACTCTTTCATGTAGTTTCTGTTTGGTGTTCGTATCATGATCCGTTGTTGATGTATGAGGTCCACGACAAAAAGCAGGCACTGCTATACATCTTACGATAAACGTACTATGTGATCAGGAAATATCGAAGTTGAACATTACCTACAAGGAGTGAAATAAAATGCGAAGGTTAAGGGAAAAAACGGGTTCCTTTCACTAAGCCTAAAGCCTAAAGCTGCAGTACTTTCCTGTGGTACTATTTTTTATGCTGTACAAGACGGTTCTAACTTTTGAGTCTGTGGATGAAATCCTAGAGTATTACCATTCAAATGAAAGCTTCCAGGCAGTACTTTCCCAGTACGTACCAGCGGGGTCCGCCTAACCTCTGGGCCTCTGGGCAAAATGCTATGGTGTTACCATTCAAACGATATTCGGTAGCAGTTCTTTTGCATTGTACTAAAAAAAAAGCTTTTCACCTCGTCACTGGTCCTAGACGAAACCAAAATCAAAATTTGAGAACAATCTTTTCATAATTGCTGGTGTCCTCTAAAACGTGGTTACACAAGAAATATGGTTCACAGGCTGAAAACGTGGAATTACACACGTATCTTTATTCATAATGACTTCTTAAGCTAAAAGCCTAACCACTTAATTTACCTGTCTGAAAATCGTGCCAAGATTTCTTTAACAAATATTCGTGACTCACCATTGCAGATTACTAAAACAAATCAAATTAAGAAAGATCTTGTTGGGAATTTTTCACAACACAATAGACAACACTCTTAAGAAAAATGGTAACTGGAAATCACCATTTAAAATTAAAAACAAAATCTTCGCATTTGGAAACTACTTAAAAAAATCTCTAATGCGTAAAGAACCTAGGCTATGATGTATTCAAAGCCGATTTTGTTCAATCAATTAAGTCTTAAATCGTTTAATACCTACTTAACTCAAGTTTTTGATCAACCGCCGGACTTTTACCTGTTCTTTTCCGTTGGTTTTAATGAATATCGAACCAAACAGTAAAGCCTAACTCACAAATGTCGATGACGAGAACCAAAACTATAGTCAGTGCTTGGGGGTCTTGGTCTCATGGAGCCGCAATCCAAACCTTTCATACGGTACATATAAGAGTTACAGACAAAGAATTCAAGACTGACCCCACTTTGCTTGGTGTTGGATTCTTCTTACGTCATACGCCGTCCCCACAGATAGTTTTGAGGTTTGGAAGAACTTGTGTCGTCTGAAGTAATGTTTTTGGTGGCATAATTTAGCTAAGGTTTGATGCCGTAAACAATTCATATAAATTCTGTCGTTAGTGGTGAGTGCTATATCAAGTTTTACGTAAGAAAGATTTATTATTGTTTCAAGTGGTGGTTGTGGAATACAAAGGCAACCGATTTTTCTGGGGCGTTGTGTGGCTGTTTTTTGCAAGATGACCCTTGCACACTCAAAAGTCGGCAAACTTGAAATTCAACAAAATTTGAAACTGTCCGAAGTGCTGAAAAGAAAATATAGTACCCTGTGAAAGTACTGCCAAAGAGCTTTCAAATAAATGGTCACTCCATAGGACATCGTTCACAAACCACCCTCGCGGGGTACTCTCTTATATAAGCCATATAGGTATGTGCCGCCCCAGAGGGTATGGTACTGGTTTTTGCGCCGTTTGGCGCAGACTTTACCCATTTTGGTCTGGAATCGGGTATGGTTTTCGAGGGAACTATGGGAGTGTATGAACGTATTAGTCGTTTCAATTCCAAATAAAAAAGAAAGACAAGATTAATATGCGAATTCAGTCGAAATTGCTTTTAAGAAATCTTTTTGTTGGAGTTCTAATCTGGGTAACTGATGGCATAATTTCATAGACGCAAAGTCTGAAAATGGGTATGGATTTTATAGAGCAAGTCTGAAAACGAGCGTGGAAAATGAA